CTACCTGGATATAATCTGAAACTGGAACACCACAGGAGCACTGCCACTGGACTCCTGAGGACAAGAGCTCCATGACCACTGCTGGACCTCCAGGGAAGGACCAGATCTTTCTACAGGATCACCACTTCAGCAGAACCACATCCATCACTCCAACAGCCACCATGGAATCGGACTGCTACCACCACCCTGACCGACAGGCTGTCAGGTCTACTCTGACTCTATCAGTCTAAGCCAGTGTTTCTGTACTACTGCCTTTCATTTTCCTATTAAATTGTAGTTCTGACTTGGAATCTCCCGCTGGTTTGCTTTCAAACTAAGTACGCTGCCCCATCACTTTCTGGCAGAATCCAGGAATGTTTCTGTCCTGACATTGTCTCCACCAAGCCCTACAGGCATTCCCTTCCCAGACAGCAGCAGGAATGGGATTAGGATGAATCACAAACTGGGGGTAATCTGGGCTGTGGGACCTTACTTGCTATGGCTCTGTGGAAATCATGGAATCCCAGAGTGGTTTGGGTTGGAAGGGTCCTGCAAGATCAGGCAGCACCACTCCCTGCCATGGAGGGACACCACTGTCCCAGCTTGCTCGAGCCCCATCCAACCTGGCCTTGCACACTCCCAGGGATGGGGCAGCCACAGCGATCCCAGGCATCTTAACAACCCATCCCAAACCACGCTTGGTGCCACCAGAGGCCAGAAGGCACCTGCAGAGCTCAGCACAGGGACACTCCATGGCCTGGCCTCTCCGGATCCTGCCCAGGAGCAGCAGATATCTGGGATTTTCCCTTTATTCTCTTCCTCCAGGCGGCATCTGATCATCTCTCGGCCCCGCCCGCAGCCCTGAATGGCAGTGAATGAACTGCCCTGACATCTCCTCTTGAAGCAAAGCAAAATGTGTTGAAGAAAAACCAGTTCCAGATGTTTTCCCAGTGTTGCCAAGTTACTCAACATGTTCTGCTTTAGTTGTCAGATGCTTTCAAAGCGATTTCCCTAACTCCGAGCACGAATGGTGAGGGCTCTCCCTGGGAATCTTCTGCCTGGGGCTACCATGGATCTGTATTTTCATAAGAAAAAGACTCAGCTAATGATTAATGTTCCCCAGAGGAAGCGGGGCCTTTCTTTGGGATTTTTCTTCAGTTATTTTTAATTAATTTGTACAACTGGCAGCTACATGAAAGTGCAAAACCCGGGAATAACGCTGGACCCAACTCCTTTTGCTCCTTCTCTCTGCCCACACCTGGAGCTTGTGGAGACATCATCATCCCTCACTTCTCTGGGGATAAGAAATCCCCTCACCAGGGAGAAATGGCTGCTTCCCACTGGGAATTTTCTCTGAGCAAAGGGAAATTTGTCCCCTGAAGGAAAAGCTGAGTTTTACATATTAATCCCAACATGGGGCATCTTCTTTAGGGAGAAGAGATAAGATCATTGGATGAAAAGGACAAAGCCCCTTGGGTTTAAGTTCCTGGTAGGATAAATCATTTAGAGCTCTTGTTTTCCAAGGTGGCTTTGGGAATGTGGAAAGCATTTGGGATTGCAAAGGGCCCCTACTCTGGTGGACACAGGGCTTGGGGTGAAGCATCCTGGATACACAGGGTGAGGAAGCCATTCCCCTCCTTATCTAGACACATTCCTTCTTCGTCCAAGCACACTCACTCCTTTTCCAGGCACATTCCCTTCACTTTGTCATAAAAATAATGCCAGTGGTGTTAAGTGAGACAATGTCACCGTCAGCTTCCCGGGCTGTTCTCTCGGAGTGCAAAGCCAGAGTACTCAGGGATGGAGGATGAGTAGGTTGTAATGTCCAAAAGGCAGGAATTGCCTTGTAATGACCAAAGGCAGGAATTTTATCCGATGGGCTCCTGATGATGGACTGCTCCAAACACCACTTCCAGCTGCTCCTGCGCTGGGAACAGCCTTGTCTGGATCTGTTTAAGGAGATTGGAAAAGTGCTGAATGCAGCATATGGTGCCCTAAAACCACAGAACTTATTGACAGCAGCCTAGACTCACTAAAGATCTTCCAAAGCCTTGCTCTGGGAAGACCCAGCACTTTCCTTCCCCTTGTAGCAGGTAAAGTCCATCCCACGCTCCCAGATTGGATCTGCATCCCGTGTGCTCTCTCTGGCATCTCATCCTCTTGCGAACGCCCCTCAGGAGCCATGGCCTGGGAAACACATGGATCTCCTGTCCTGGGGCCCTCTTCACTCCTGGTGGATGAGGCTCAAACCTCCCCAGTAGCCACCCAAACCAGCCTGGTTCTGAACTGGCTCCACTTCCCAATTCACTGGGACTCAACACATGCTCCTGAACTCCCGAGCCTCCAGCTGGTGTTAGGGAAGGTGAAACTGTTTCTCACAGCTCCCAGGTTATCCCAGGAAATTCCTGCCAGCACACCATGAAGATGACTTGGGTTGTTGGATCTCACTCCTGCAGCTCTGTGGAAATCATGGAATGATTTAGGTTGAAGGGATCTTTAAAGCCCATTCTGTTCCACCCTCTGCCATGGGCAGGGACACTTCCTACTGGACCAGGTTGCTCCAAGCCCTGTACAACCAAGCCATGGACACTTCCACAGCTTCTCTGGGAATCCCACACCATCCATCACCACCCCCAAGCCTGGCTGATGCTCCATCAGCAGCAGAACACAAGGGCTTCAGGGCAGGGAGGATGCACATCCCTCAGGGTGGTGCTGGACCGGATGTGGTGCAGGGACTGGGGCCGGGCCACCCTGCGCCTGCCAGCGCTGCTCAGTGTCACACATGACACAATGAGCAGGGCCAGTGACTCAGGGCCACTTGCTGACGCACCACACTGGGCTATTCTTCTCTCTCCCGATGAGTCGCTCCAAGATTGGACACAGTCTATCTCTGAGAGGCGCCTGGAATTAGCTTAACTCTTGGCAGTACAGGAGAAATCTAATTTCCTTCGGGATCCGGCTGTTCTGGAGGCAGGGATGGGGCTGTGCTCCCTCCCCTGGCCTGCCTGGGAGCTTTTGCTCCTTATCAGAGCAGCTCCACAACTCACTGCTCACAGAAAACCAAGGGATTGGATCCCGGTTCGCAGAACTGCTCCATGCCCAGCTGCTCTGATTGGTGTAAACTAGGCTGAAATTATACAGATGTCACGAAGAACAGTCAAATGAGAGACATCCTACTTTTTGGGTGGCAGTAGCAAGGGAATCTGATCGGGAAACACTCTCCATCTTCCATGAGCACCACCCCAAAAACCATGGGACAACAGGATCACAGGCCTCATCTCTGCAGGACTTTGGGAACAGGCAACTGGTGGTGTGTAAACATCACCCCAAAGCTCTGAGATTCAAGTCAAAGCAGGAATCAAACATTCAGCTGCTTCTCAGAGCCTCTTTGGTCTGGAAATGGGCTGGAAATGTCAGGAAACATGTGCTTCCCACGAGATGCCTGGTACTTCCTTCTTCCAGCCGGGCAGGAAGTAGCTTTGCTCATGGGGCTCTGCTCACGGGGCTCTGCTTGGTTTTGCTTCATCTCAACAGACCAGAAACCACAAAACTCCTACACGTCATCAACTCTGGGGACTTCTTGAACCCTCACAGGGATCTGGGATCAATTTGGGATGCAGGACATTCCTCCTGCTCCATCCCTGTCTCCTACAGTGACCCTGCTGTAGGACCCTGCAGGGCTCTGCTGTAGGTTCCTGTCAAGAGCCAGCCTGGAAACAGAGGGACCATCCCATCCCCTCTGGGAGTAGGGACTGGATTCACACCCAACTTGTGACCTTGTGCTAAAACACCCTCTCTCCTTCCCTGCCCACACCCAGGACAAATTACAGCCCCTGGTGCCTGGCCTGGAGGCACCACCTCACAGTGTCCATGCTGGGAACAGTTCTGGTGGGTGGGTGGAGAATTGGGAGTTTCCTAGGAAATGACCTGGGGATCAGATCCTAGGGATTTGATGTTTGTTTGGGGCTGAATCCCTGGATATGCTGAGCTCAGGTTAAAAAGCTACCCCAAGTGAGCCAAATGAGGCTACACCAGCCAGCACCTTGCCCAGCCAAGTCCAGCTGGGCTCCCAGAAATTTCCGGATCTGGGGGCATCCATGGATTGAAACTATTCACAAAAATGCTCCTCCCTAGCTGGGCTTTATTAGTGCCTCTTTGTGTGGGAGACTCTCCCTCCAAGCCAGATTTCTCCAGCCCGTTTGCCCAGTCTTCCTGCCATCCAGTCAATGATTTGTAGCTGGGAAGCATGGAAGGATGCCTTTGGGACTCCCTGCATCCAACTGTTGCCACGTGGGATCCCTCTCCCTCACAGCCTGTGTTCTGCTGGACTCACATCTCCTCAACTCCTCACTGAGACCAGTCCCATCAGCCAGGGAGGACAACAAAAAAGGTTACACCAAATCATCAGGACACTTTGCAAAGTGGGATGTGGGAATGCTGGGGACATCCCTCCTGCTCCACGGATCCTCCCTCTCCTTGACCTCGCATAGAGGAGCAGGAAAGGCCAGGCTGGAGGACCAGGCTGGGATGCAGTGAGACCAACCCCGAGTGGTACCACAGTGCAGTGTCACAGCGTCCCACTCCTGTCCCCAAAAGCCATCAGCGAGGCAGCGCCACGCTGAGGACACCGCGCCCCACCAGGGTGGTTCTGCCCCGAGCCCCAGTGGCTTTTCCCTGGGACAGGAGTGGGCCAGGCTGTGCCGGGAGGTGCTGCCCCTCCGCCTGCTCCCTCGGGATTCAGACCCAGGAGAAAAGGAACGAGGGCTGGGCTGACCGTCAGACCTCGGCACGGCGCGGGCGAGGGAGGCGCGGGCACTCAAGGCACTCGCGGCAGCGGCCGGGGGACACCCGGCAGTCCCATGGGGACACCCTTCCATTCCCAGGGACCCCTCCCCTCGGTCCCCCCGCCCCCGTGCCGTTCCTGCCCTCCCGGCGCCTGCGGGCTGGGAATGCTGGCCCTGCCCAAACCCTTCTGGCGCCGGGTCCCACAGCCCTGTGCGCGTTAGAGACTCTTCACCACGGGGATGCCCCGCGCGAGCAGCTCTTGGGGGATGTGCGGGGGTGCGTGTGTGCCACCCCCGATCCCGTGCCTCCCATTGGAGGAATAGCATGTGCCCCCCTTATGGGAAAAGATCTGGCGTTCTCCTTGGAGGTCGGCTCTGCCCTCTGTGTCACTCGTCCCGTGCCACGCTCTCCTCCAGGGCGGGCGGGGCCTCCAGGCCGAGCCCCCCGGCGCCGCCGTGCACGCTCGAGAAGGACACCATGGTGTGGAGGAGCATCAGGACCAGCACACACAGTCTGATCCTGCTGCTGCCGAGGCGAGACCCCGCAGAGACCGGCAGCAAGGACGGGGAGCGAGGCTGGTGGTACTGGTGGTACTGGTGGTGGTGGTGGTGGTAGAGGTGGTAGTGGTTCTGCCTCTGATGATGGAGGTGGGGGTCGTGGCGGTGGAAATGGAGCGACTCTGACGCCGTGGATTTGGGGGATGTGTCCTCGTTGCTGTCTGGGGGGTGCTCGCAGGAGTCCCATTGCACCTCGCAGCACTTGGCCTCCTCGTCAGGCAGCTGGTTCTCCAGCAGCCCTGCAGGAAGGAAGGAAGCAGGAGGAGGGGTCAGCGGGACACTGAGGATGAGGCTGCAGAGGAGGCGAGCCCTGGTGCCCACCAGCTATGGGATGGGCACACCTGAGAACCAGGACATCCAAACACCCACTGAGACTGGCCCCAGCATGTCTGTGAGCCTGCACACACCAGCACGGAGAGTTCGGGGCTCCCCAGATCTTGCTCACAGCAGTTCAATATCCCCACCCTGCTTTAATCCATCACCTCCAGCTCCCTCCATGCTTTAGCTTTCAGTCAGAGGTAGGACTTTCACCTCCTGGGCTGAGATGTTGCTGTGCCCCCATTAACCCATTACCCCGTGCCCTTGCGATGGCCACGTTTTGGCATCAGGCAATGTTTCCACACCGCCCCTCCTCCCATCCACCCCGGCAAGCCTTCCAAACTCGGGGAGTGGCTTGGAATTTCCCCAGGGCTCACCATCACCCCCCACCCCCGCCGTGCCCGGTGTGAGCCCGGCCCTCCTTACCCGTACAGATGAAGCCAGGCAAACCTCCATAGATCAGCTCATCATTGTCCGGTAACACGAAGGGGCACCTGGTCTGCACCTCCAGGCAGTATTGCTTGCATGGGATCCGCTGCCGGCACTGCTGCTGGGTCACGTTGAAGTACTCGGAGCACAGCCACGCCTTGTAGACAGCCTGGGGGAAATCATGGAGAGGGACACGTCACCTCCCCAAGCACCGGGGCAGCTGGAGCATCGCAGTGCGAAAGGGGACGGGAGAGCTCCCAGCTCTTGTGGGAAATGCGTGTTGGGGTCATTTGTTGAACAGCGATGGATTCAAACAGCCCACTGGAGTGTAACAATGGTGGAACTCGTCTATCCAGCTAAATCCACCATAAAATAAAGCTAATTACGACACAGAATAATGTCCCCTACAGACAGGCATTGTGGCAGATTCTGCCAACACCATGGACCCAAGAGCTCAGTCCTTCACACAAAAATTCAAACGCTGCTTACCACCTGTCCCAGAGTGTCCTCCTCAACCCCAAGACATCTCACTGCTCTCCTGGGCAAGGGAGGGATTCTCACCTCCTCTAAAATGCCTTGGCCCCCATCAGCTCTGGACATGGGACAGCAAAACACATCATGGGCTGGTCTTCCCTGGAAATTTTCTGCTGGAAAAGCTGCTGGACGGAAGCAGCTAGGATGCAGCACATGCAGCCACTGCACCTCAGGCTTGTCCCCCTCTGCCACCAAAGAACACTTTCCTCACCTTCCCCACCAGGTCCTGGGAGAGATTCGTGATTCCTTAACATCTGGAACTTCTGCTGTGCCATTTATTTTGGCTGAAGGGGGAAACTTGTTCATTTTCCGTGGATGTTCTGGCACGAGGATGTACCAGTAGTACAGGTGTCTCCATGTGCTGTTTACTTTCCTGATACTTCAAGCTGTGCTTGGCAACATTTCCAGAAGGAAGAGCACCCTGGGGTTTCAGCTGTGACTGCAAGGCTGTGCCACATCCCCTGCCTCTCCAGCCTGTCCAGTCCTCTTCCCTTCCAGCCAGGCATAGCCCAGATGGCCTCAGTTACAACCATATTCCCAAATTTCCCTTATCTCCCCAGAATCAGGCATGGGGGAAGTTGTTTTTCTCCACTGGCTGCAGCAGACAGGGAGGCAGAGCTCCCATTTCTCCTGATGTGCATCATTCCTCAGGCTGCAAGAAACCTGTGGCACTTCCAGCTCATCCATGAACTCATGAGAGCACGAGTGACAGCACCATGGTCATTCCACGACCACATCCAACTTCCTTTGAATCCAGCTAGAAAGGGCTCCCTGTGATTCAAAGGGAATGAGTTTCCCCCCTCAGCATGCTTAGAGAAACCCCTGCTCCACTTTCTGGCTGCATTTTCATTTTCTCGAGGCTTTAAACCCATCACTTTGTTTCCCCATGTTTTTCATAGATCCTTATCATTGTTTCTTTGGCCCACAGTGGTGTCTCAGGATTAAAGCTGGTTGGGAAATTCTTGGCAAGTTATTTTAATTTTTTTTTCCCCCTGGAAAATGCCAAATCATGAAAGCCAGATTGTTCACAGAATTGTGTTAGCTTTGGTGAAACTTTCATCCCAAAAAGTTTAATGGGCACCAGGACACAATTTATGGAGTGAACATTTTGGAGCAGTCACCATTATTGTGGCCAGGGCCGGCCCCTGGAATGTGGGAATGAAGGTGCTTGTTCTCCTTGTCCTGTTGGATGTTAATTACTGGGACACAGTGGAACAACTCCAGAGGAGGGAATGACTCTGCAGAGTGCGAGGACACAAGCAGGAGAGATTCAAGGTGTGGATCTGCATCCCTGAACATGTCATCCCTGGAAGTGTCCAGGGCCAGGCTGGATGGGGTTTGGAGCACCCTGGGATAGTGGCAGGAGGTGGGATGGGATGGCCCTTCCAACCCCAACCATTCTATGACTGCATGATCTGCCTGAACTGATGATTCCTTAGAGCAGAGGAGGGACAGGCCATGCTCCAGAGGGGCCACAACCCCCACTGCAACACATGCTCTCCCTGATGGCCTCTGCTCCCTTGGGGACAGCATGTGGAGCAAGCAGACAGGACACAGCTGGAGCCCTCAGTGGGTGGCACACAGCCCTCTGCAGGCATCATGAGTTTCTGTCTGTTTGGAAAAGCAGGACCTGCCACTGCTGATGTGGAACTTCAACAGGATGCACAGGAGGGTTAGAGAGCTCAGGGGACAGTGACACCTTACTGTGATGGGACACAGCACCAGGGGGTGCACAATGGGCTCCACAGCACCCACTGACTGCCCAGGATGTATCCAGAAAGGCCATATCCTTATTCCAATCTGAGCACTCAGCAAGTCCCTGCTGTTGTTTCCACACCCTCCAGACACACTCATGTAATCTGGAGCAAAAACAGAGATAGGCCTTATTAATTACCTTAATTACTTGGGGTGTCTTTAGAGCAACAAGGAGAGGGTGTCCTGAAAACACCCTGACCCTCTGAGAGTCCGGTAGCGAGCAGCTGGATGAGCTTCTCCTTCTCCTGGTGACCATCCAGGATTTTAGACAGCTGGTAAGAATGACCTGCTTGAATATGAACTGGCTGATGTCAGGTGGGTGAATTTCTCCCAAAGCCATGAAGTTTTCAGGATTAAAATCTGGATGGATGAATTAAACTACAACCAGCGTGCAGTTTAAAGGGGAATTATGAACACAGGAGTTGGATGGACATCACCGGTGTCCCCTGCCCCATCTGGGATGGACACCCTGCATCCATCCCTCCAGCTCAGCCTCTTTTCCAGACCTCATCTGTCTTAGGATAAACATCTCCATCAGTGGGACTTCCTCGTGTTTCCCAAGGAGGTTGTTTTACAGCACTTATCTCGCTGCCTACAAGTTTTCCTTCATACTTGACCTACATTTTTCCATCCAAAAGTTCACTCCCTTCAATCATTCCCTCCACCATTCCCTCTCCCTGCTCCATGTTTACACATCTCTAATATTTGCAGATGTCTCACGCTCCCCCTTTAGTCACAACTCAGACGAGCTCAGCTGATTTACTCACTCCCATTTCCTGCCAGTCTTCTTCCCAGCTCTGACTCTCCCACGCTGCTTCCCAGATCCCAGTCACATCCCAGCTCCCACCTGGGCTCACATGCAGCCCGGCATGGAGCTACACTGAGTGCTCCAGCAGAGGATTGTGGGTGTCACCTGAGCTGGCCCAGCTCCAGATTTGGGTGGAAAAGGCAGCCAGAATAGGAGATTTCCCAGAACTTGTAGGAAGATGACTGGGTTCACCCTGCTCTCGTGTGGAAACAGCTGGCACAAGCAGGCTCTGCATGGATCCAAACATATCCCCCCTAAAATGTTTGTGATGATTCCCATCAGGGAAGTCTGGCAGAGGGTTGGGGGTCACACACACAAACATTCCATTAATTTAGTGAAAATATGGAAGAAGACACTGCAGGGAGCTGGTGATACTGGGGAGGGCAGAGCTGGAGCACTCATCCAGAGCCTGAACCAAGATTCCCTGGCTGCCTGCCATTCTTCCTTCCCTTTCCAGAGCACCTGCCTTCCCTGAGGAAAGCACTGACCCCAGCCAGCGCTTGCCATTTCCCTTGTGGCAGATCCTCCAGGTGCTGCAGCAGGAATTCCTGCAGCTCTGCAGGATGGAAACTGTGTGTACTCAAAAACAGAGACATGCAAGACCTGCTGGTCCAACAGGGCTCTCCCACTCCACTGAGATCAGGCTGAGATGCAGGTGGATCTCCAGGAGATCCCAGTGTCCTCCCACCCTTCACCCACACAGATCTGTATAACAGACAAGGAGCAAAGTCCCTGGGATGCTCAAGGTTTTGGTATCTCCAAGCTTACCCCACACAACCTCCTTAGTTCTGCTGTTAAAAAGGACATGTTAGAATTTAGGACAGAAGAAATGTATTCCCTGCTTACATCAACTAGGAAAGCTCCCTGGTTTCCATCCTTGCCCTCTCTGGATTCTTCAGGAAGCGGGCTGGGTTGCAATCAGTATTCCTGCCATTCTGGTTTGGCTTTTGGCAGATCTCCAGCCTGACCAAGTAAATTAGTGACCTCAGCTCCAAAATAGCTCCAGTTTGGTGCCCTCTTCCTGCATTTTTAGCTCTGGAGGACTGGCTGCATGACTCTGAGAAAGCACACAGAATTTGGCTGCCTAGGAAAGGAGCCAACTTCAGACACCCAATTTATATGGAAGAGACAGGCTTTGGAATTTTGCAGGTGGGATAAAAAACTTCATCATAAAAGACATTAAAAAAAAAAACCCAAAATGAATTGGATTTCTAATAGTGAATTAGGCTGTCTGCTCACACTTCCAGTGGGATCTGGAAGCAGCAGTCAGAGGGATGGTGCTTTCACAGGGAATTCTGTGCCAAATGGGAGTTCTTTCCTGCCTGCACTATTCCCTGCCTCCTGTCACTACCAGGACAGCATTCCCCATGAAACAGCTTTTCCAAAGTCTTCTTGCGTTCTTAGGACTTCTGCACAAATTTGGCCACTTCAATGCCAGTCCAGTGGCTGCCAGTATCTTGGAAACACTGGCACTGCCTGTGGAACCAAGGAGCAGGAATGGAGCAGGAATGGAGCAGCATTCTCAGGACACAGCACCACTGCAGAGGATGCAGTGCTTGGGATAACTTGGATGCCCACTGGGAATGCCAGCTGTAATTAACACAACAAACTGTTGTTTTCCCATTTGAACAGGAATCAATGCTCAGGAAGTTTCCCCAAGGAAAATCCTGCTAATGGCACAAACATAACAAACCCTTCTCATTAATTACTGGCAGAGGTTGGGGCAGCATCCCCAGCTCAAAATCCACTTCTCTGGAAGGGGGAGATGCAGTCTGGAAGACAGAGAGGGAAACATGGAGATTTTCCCTACAAAATAACCTCAGAAGGAGACTTGGGAGCATGCTTGGACCAGAGGTGAGGATCACCCTGGAAGTTGGGCCCTGCCATCATGACTCTCCTCCTTTCCCTCTTCTCACTGGGTGCACCCAGCTCCCAGAAGGGAGGGGAAGAAAAATCCCTGCCTGTCCCTGCCAGACCCCCGGCCTGGAGCAGCCCCCTCCCCTCTCAGAGCAGTTCCTGGGACTCACATTTCCATCCTGGTCTGAGAGGAGCATCTGGAGTGGCTGTGCCTC